GAGGCAAAAAATGCAGGTCTTAGAGTTTGGGGTTTCACAAATTTAGAAATGTAAATGACATGGATCATTACATCAACACTTTGCTCATCTATTCAAAACAAATTAATTTGTTGGATTATATCTAATCAATAACCATTGCCAAAAAATCTTCAAATACACTCCCTCCCTATCCGCTCACTGACCAATAAGCTGTGGGAAAAACTGTTCAGATCATAAAAACTAATGCTTTATTATGATACAGTGACTGTTAATCAAAAACTCATAAACACCGATATTTTCAGACCATACAGTGTAAGATAAAGAGGTAATTAATAAGGAATCACTCTGAGACGACGATCAAAGTAACCTCCAGTGTGTTGTTTTTGCAATTTTGAAATTGAGTTGACCAAAGCTGAGGCGGACTCTTCTATCTGGAGAATAAAAAATTAACGTTACAATTCAAGAGCTTGGTTCGGCCAGCCTACAGTTATAGCAGCTGTTCGTCCATTCATGTTGCCCATGTCAGTCTGTACCCAACCTGGGCAAAACTGCACCACAAGAATTTTATCATTCACCAGGTCAATCGACATCGTTTTGCCAAGCTGATTTACACCCGCCTGAAAACAATGGATTTCTCACAGCATTGATGGGACAGCAACACACAAGAACCTTGAAAGTACCTTACTAATTTTGTAGGCGAGTGCTCCTAATTCACCTGATCCATCCTCATTCTCACTAATGGAACCCCACCCACTAGATATGTTCACAATTGCAGCTCGATCAACCCCCCAGTGATCATCAGAATGTTGAGCAGAGGCTTTCTTCAGCAAAGGGAGAAAGGTCTAAAAACTATAAAAATACACCAAAGATGTATGATAGAAATAGGATTGAGTTTAAGGGGTTGATTGATTAGCATGAAATGTTTTGGCCACTCATGAATACAAACTTTCTCGAACACATTTCATCATTAAAACGGTTTCCGCATTTTCTTTACGCTCTTGCAGCAGTACACAATATTACTCCAGAAACAAACAAAAAATCGGAATTCTTGGAGAAGTATGGGAAAGTTTTCTGAAAACTCTCTACTGTGAACGATTTTTCCGCAGAAAAACAGCTAGATGTGTGAAGAGAAAGTGAGAAATAAAATTTTAAAGCTTACATTACCTATTATCCCCCC